TGGTGTATGATGAGTGGTGTATGATGAGTGGTGTATGATGAGTGGTGGTTGAACAGCTGTTGAATGTCCGTAACACGGAAGTTTTGCACACTAAACTTCCTTTGATCATGTGAGCTTCAACAAAATATGCGCCACACCACACGTTTGGAATGATTTCGACCCATTCTGAGCACACTCCCATCCACCAAAGTCGCCATTTCAGCAGAGACTTGTCACGAAAACAGAACTTCGATGCAACACCCTGAAACGTAAACCCTAATGGCACGGCCACATCCAACACCCCAAAAACACCACTCTCCAAATGCTAATCCCAATGGAACTGTGCAGAAACCTGCGGATCTCACAAAACGCTGCGCCTGCGCAGTGAAATCATCCTCCACACTTCAACATCTCACATTTCCACACGTTTCCACGCTATTTCATACGAATCTGACACGTCACGTTTCCATCCGAAACCCTCTCCAAAAGCTTCCCCCAATGGCAGCGCCTTAGCGCCCTACCGCGGACGGTTGCGGTCTGTTGCGGTCGGTTGCGAACGGTTGCGGACGGTTGCGAACGCTGAGACAACGCGTCGCGAACAAGGTTCTACCCCCAAACCTCCAGAGTTAAACGAGAACCCTTCGCTACGCATTCGGGGAAAAACGTAAAAAACACGGCCTTGACCCCAAACAACTTGGTCAAAACATCGCAAAGCAAGGACCCGCTTGCAAAACATCTCGACAGGCACACAAACACCAAACAAGGCTTGTCCATCCACAAGTGTACATGTGTATCTGCTTTGCAACTTCAAGTATCTTTTTTGCTAACATGTCAAAATGGCAGCATGCTGTGGCGGTTGCTTGTCAACATGAGAAAAAGCTTTGGAGTCAGGAGCACCAAGGGATTGTATGGGAGACACAGTGGCAGCTAGATTATATATGGCGCCAGTAGGAGCTAAAAGTGCAACACGAGACGGCGGCTCTTGCAGTCTTGAAGGAAAACGTAAAACTTGAAGAGCCGGACACACCACCGGATTCCAGCACAGAACCGCACAAGTGAGGAATATTGGGCCAATTCTGTGAAGATGACAATCTCATGGAGGCCCCACCGAGAGGAAGCTCCTTGGCAGGTTTCAAAACATATCCAAATCACATACTATTGCCCTGCAATTTGCTGCTGTTTCTCTGTTCAGCTGTTCAATCGTTCTCTGTCATGTTCATGTTTTGCTTGGTTGTCAAGACGTTATGTGATTCATTGTCTGCTTGTTTCTGTTGTTCTTTGTCTGCATTTTGGACGGCTACAACCTCACCGAAAGTGAAAATGTAGGACAGTACTTCAACAGTCTATGAGACTTTGGAGAGTCGCCTGCCGTCTTGAGACCTGTTTGGGGCGGGCCTGCCTGGGGCGGGCCTGCCCAAAGAATAGTAGTATCAAAAAGTTGAATAAGATTCAAATGGCTAAATTCGATTGTGTGGTTTGCATGGATGGACACAAAACACTGCCCCAACATGCCAAGCAGTGGAAACACCAAGTATCTGTTGTATAAGTTACAGTATATAGATGGCCTGAGTAAGCGCTGTGCGTGAGACATCCAACCCATACAGGCGCTGTCTTGGGTCCTCTTGGATCAGACCATCAAGCAGAGTCCTGTTCAATGTCAGTCTGAGTTTCCGACCACTCTGTGCCTGAGTACGTGGGATATGAGCCTCGTGTGGGCAAACAAATGGGAGAAGAACGCAAAAGTGTCTGCGTTCAATGATCCATTTGCACAATCTAGCGCCTTTCACAAGCACTGAGACCGACTGAATGAATAAAAAGTACTCTTCTCTTTCCCTGCGTTTTCGAAAAAGCCATGCACCTACCTCGCTGCTTGTTTCTTCCAAATTCCGTCTTCCGGTGTCCGCCTGCAACGTGCTAGGAGAAGTAAAAGATGTATCATAGCCATGCCTAAGAGTGCCCGGGCAGAGCAAGCACACAAGATTGGATCCACAAGCTTTCAGTTTGGGCCATGCTGACTGTGGAGCGCGTTGGACTTAAACTCAAAGCATACCCATCTCTTCCACAATCACTCCAAAGTGGTTATATAGTTGGAAGTTTGTGACATGTTTCTCAGCATTATACGTTCAAGCTGAAACTAAGCCACCAGCACCAGTGCACCCAGAACACCTTGGTGAACACCATCTGGAAAGTTCCGGGTTCAGGGTCATTCGTCATTCCTCCATCAAAAAAACTTTAGATGATGGCAATCAAATGCATCCTGAAACCGATGCGTGGCCGCTGTGGCCCTTGAAGTGTTATGCCTTGCAACTTTGCGGACACGGGAGGAAAGGTTTTGTTGGAGCAAGACAAGGCTCCAAGAAAATGCAAACGACAAGGACATAGGCACATTCACCCAGGTACGAAAGAACTAAACAGAACCAAACCAACGGAGAAAGGATCAGAAAGAACTTTCCTAATGGGTGTTGTGATCGCTACAAAGCCTGTGCTGCAGGCGATGAGAACGGTGTGTGTGTGTGTGTCAACCCCTGTACCTAAAGGTTCCACTTCTCGTTTTGGTTTCGAACTTCGTTTTCAGCAGGGGGCTCACGGGTCTGTTCCTGGCGTGAGCCAACGAAGCTCCAGGTTCAGACTAGGATATCGAAAGAGGACGCTCTCTCGACGTACCTGCTACTGAAACAGTTGATCAAGCCGTTCCACTTTCTGCCTTTTTGCTTCATGGTGGTTCATGATACTCCCCCCAAACCATTTCCCTCAGCCGCTTTCAGCTGCCGCGCGCTGACCGCTTGCGAGTGTCTTGCAACATGATGTTCAACAATACTGTTTTTGCGGACTTATGCACCTTTCTGTTACCTCACCTTCCTTCTCAGTGTGCGAACTGAGTTAACTGCAAACCAATGTCAGAGTGTGAACCGCTCAGCCGTCCCACTTGGGTGCTGGGTGTGATCCCCGAGACAGGGGCGCCGAAGCCATACCGGAAATCATCCTTCCCATTGATAACTGTATTTTTCTCCACCGACTCACCTGTTTCACTTCCATAACTGAATTTACTGCACTTTGAGCCGCCGGGCTAACACGGCTTTTCCACCTTGATTACTGAATTGTAATTTTCCACTACATGTTCCATTGCATGCACTTAGTTCTTTTCGTACGCAGCCGACCTTTGATTTTCAAGTGTACAGTTGACCAGATTACGCATCACTTTGTCACCACAGGCTCACTCATGCAGTTGACTCACCTCGACCAGATTACACTTTCACTTTGTCACTACAGGTTCACTCATGCAGTTGACTCACTTTATCCGGACCTTTCATCTCATTTCATACCATTTCATCATTTTTCAGATCTTTTTTTCTGTTTTACATTAGCTGCCGGATCGCTGCACGGGCTGCCGGATCGCTGCGCGGGCTGCAGCTACGCAATACCCATGGCCATATCCATACCTGACACGTCAGCCACCTCCCACAACAGCGCCGACCTTTCCAATCCCACAGACACAGCCACATTTACCGCCTATGGTTCATCACATGCCAGCCACTATGCCACATTTCCCACAGCCAACATGGCCGCCTATGACCCAACTTCCTACGCCACCATCAGCGCTACCACATGCACCACATTTCCACTCTACCATGCCTTTTCCCTACACTTCACCTTCACAGGACTCCATGCCACACTCTTTTCCAGCAACCGCCTCCCCACATCTTACACCAACTCCAGTTCCCCAGCCATCTCCACAACCGATTCCGCAACCTACACAACCACAATGAATGGGGCCCCAACCAAGGAGTTTGGCAACCTTTTTCAGCTTTTCCACCGGTTACGCAGCCACGCCAACTCCAGTTGACCACAGCCTCAACACTTCCAGATCCGTCTCAAGTGACAACGACACCGCAGTCTCCTGCTGCTGCGACCGCTGGCTCACAACCACCCACTTCTACAGCACCTTCGGCGCAGGACAGCCACACAGCCACAGCCACTGACACAACAACTCCAGCTCTCCTCCCTACTGCCAACACACCTCCACCCTCCACTCCTGCAGCCTCCATTCCTTCCAACAACGCCAACGATGCACAACTCCCTGATCCACTACCCGCCAAACCAAGTGCTCCGGCATCACAACCATCACAACCACACCAACACCGAGGCCGCCGAGAACACGGCCGCCGACATCGCCATCGCAGACATCGCAGGCACCATACCCGAGGCAGGCGCACACATCGCCACCAGTCAAGCCAGCAGCACTCCTCCCGCCATCACCGTTCACGTTCCCCTTCAACATCCTACTCCGATCACGCAGCCGCTCCAGGCACCCCATCTCACTTCCCCCAACCAACGATTCAGCACAACAAGACGCATTCAACAATCAATCCCACTCCGACTATCCCAACATCCCAGCTCTTCGCCGACCTGCCAGGCCTTGGCGCCCTTCAACACATTTTCAACAGCTAACACCACAACAACAGCTGGAACAATGGCTTGATTACCACGCAGACCAACTGGACACACCCAACAAACCGCAGCACACCTACATTGCTCAGCTCCTTTTAGACAGCGGCATCATCTCCGATTACCGACAATTCACCCACATCAAGTGGAACGACGCCCACCAGACCCACGACATTTACCAATACCACTGCATATCCATTCCCAGTCTAGTCCAAAAAGCCACTCGTCGCTTTCCATCTCCGGCCACTCGAGCAACATCCACCTCACCAGAGCTCGCCCACATCAACGCGAGCCACACCGGTCCACTCGGCAATGTCACCAACATCCTTCAACAAGGCCGGTTTCTTCCCAGCACCCTCCACTTTCCCAACAACTCGGGCTTCTTCGCACAAGGAGTCCGCATCACGCAACAACCACAACACGACAACGCAGAACACGCCCGCATCCTCCACAACTCTTGGAACCTGGCCAAAAACACCCACTCAATCCTTGTTACCCTACTTGCGTGGGGCCAAGGCACCAAATTCACCAATGGCGGCGAAGAACACGGCGCCGTTTGCCACGCAAAAGCTCGCAGCTGGGTTATTCACCCAGACAACGCCATTGTCAAAGGCCTTGCGTGGTCTGTCAACGCCACTCCACCAGCCACGTGACCTTCTGCAACAACACCTTTTCACCACTTTAGCCATTTCCACCAACCACTTGACCTTCTACAACAACACCTTTCACCATTTTGGCCATTGTCACCAGTTTCACACCACAGCGCATACCACTCGCTCGGCGACAAAAGATCGAGCGCGGACAGCACCTTTGCTTCGTTTTGAATTCGAGTCATACACGCAGACGGTGACTGTTGTCGCACCACATGAATTTTGAACACGTTGATCTCCTGAGACGGTGCTACCTAAGAAACCTTTTCATGAGGCTTGCATGGTGAGTTGCTAACTTTGCTTGTTTTGCGCAGGCCTTTTCGAAGGCACAATCGTTGATTTTCCGCAAAATTCACGCTCGGTAATTCACTTGCACGGCTCAGACGATCCTTCATGCTGCCCAGCTGCTGCACCTCTCCGCCGCGCCGCTTCGCTGCTGACAGAGACCGTCACTACCCACAATATGATGAACAACAGTCCTCACCAAGCCAACCTGCTACGCCGCACAGCCATTGCTCTTACACAACTCCATCGACTTCTTCAACAAGCAACGGACATTCTAGCTGACCTCCACAACCTGTTCCTGCACCATACTGGACAGGTCGACCAGCATTTCCAACGCTCTTTTCCACCTCTTCCACCACCTCCTTCCTTTACCATTCCACTGCCCTCACCCACATCTTCTTGCGATTCAGCACCAGCACCCGCACATCAGCACTCTCCAACTCCACGCAAACCAGCAGCATCCCTTGATTCCTCCTCCCCTTCTCCCTCACCACAGCGACCACAACCCAAGAAGCGACGCCAACCCGCACCACCATTGAACTCCCACGCTGATTGGGACGCCTGGGGTGGTGAAGCTGATTGTCGCCTCTTGGACTCAGTGGAACAATGCAAAGCCCGCTGGGAGGAACTTCAAGACTTACAACGACTCCAAGACATGGACAACTGCCTCTCACCACCTCCCACCACCTCACCAGATCATTCACTCCTTTTCTTAGTCTCTTTCACTTGGCACTTTTTACCTCTCTGCATCATTTCTACCGATGCATCTTCTCGTGACCTTTGACCTTTGTCACCGCAGCCATTTTTCATTGAACACAGAACTTTTGGTGTTTCATCCGCCAATCTACGCCGCCAAATCATGGCCTCCGATGATGCTGCTGCGGCCAACGATACTGAATACGACCCATCCTTCCGCACTCACAGTACGTTCCAAACTTTGCACTCCACCTCTCCACCTGGCTCACAGTACACACCAGCTGCAGCTGCTGCGCGACAAGCCCACCGACGCAGCCTTCTCCACCTTTCCTTCCACACAATGCACCTATTCACCTCGCACCTTCTATCACACATCAACCTGAGTTGCTCCTCCTCAGCTGGATGTTTGACAACCTTTTCATATTGGTTGCCCAGATTATGGATCACCCACTGGCATCCTCCATTCCACATCCAAGCAGGTTTGTCGACGACAACGCCTACCAACTTTTCTGTTCCAGCGAGGCCTCCTGGATCTGAGCCGCGCCACCCTGCGCCTGATGCGCGCTCGACGCCTGCTTCAATTCCTACCAGGCCCTCCGGGTCAGTCTGGCCAATACCGACTAGATCCCACAGCTCATTTCCCACCGCGCACTACAGACTTCCTCGCCACTTGCCCTCTTACTCCTCCACCCTCTCCGACATCACCCTCCCCACATCCTCGTTTCTCCTCTCCTTCTCCTCACACAACAACGACAACAGCCAGGGATCGGTCACACACGCAGCCGCATGCTGATGATGTGCAGCCGACAGACATCGACATTACCCAACCGGCAGCTGCTGACGACCTCCACTTGAGCAACCCCGAGACTGATTGGTCTCTATGGTCATGTTTCACCAACTTCGGCTCGGCGCGCAACAGAGAAAACAGCCTCTACCACCTTTCATGCTACACACCACCGATGTCCTTGCGCTTTCTCCGAGTTTCTGCAGCCATGGGTTTTGTATATATACCTTAGTGTTTTTCAGCAGCTCCAGTGCCTCAGGCTGATTTAGACAGAACATCTGGACCAGCCTGCACCACACGGTTGC